GGGACATGATGGGGGGCAGGAAACCGGACACTGGGGGGGGGACGGGAACCCGGCACTGATGGAGGAGGAACCGGACACTGATGGAGAGGGAACCCGGGAATGATGGAGGGGGAACTGGGGCCTGTGGAGAGGGAACCTGGACATGATGGGAAGGAACCGGACACTGATGGAGACGGGAACCGGACACTGATGGAGACGGGAACCTGGCATGATGGAGCGGGAATGGACATGATGGAGCGGAAAACCCGGGCACGATGGAGACGGGGGAACCCGGACCGATGGAAGGGAAAAGGAACTTTTGGGGGCGGGGGTGGAGGGCGGAACTGGGCACTGATGGGACGGGAACCCGGACCTGATGGGGAGGAAACTGGACACTGATGGAGACGGGAAACCCGGGGCACTGATGGAGGCGGAACTGGACATGGGAGGCGGGGAACCGGACACTGATGGGGACGGGAACTGGACAGATGGAGGGGAGGAACTCGGCACTGATGGGGAGGGAACCGGACAGATGGAGGCAGGGGAACTCGGCAGATGGAGACGGGAAACCCGGACCATGGAACGGGAACCCGGAACTGATGGAGGCGGAACTGGACATGATGGAGCGGGAACCCGGACACTGATGGAGGCAGGAACTCGGAATGTGGAGCGGGGGAACTGGACACTGATGGAGGGGAACTCGGACACTGATGGAGAGGGAACGGACATGATGGAGCGGGAACCGGGCATGATGGAAACGGGAAAATGGACATGAGGAGGCAGGAACTCGGACTGATGGAGCGGGAACCGGACACTGATGGGAGGGAACCTGGACATGATGGGGGGGGGGCGGAACCGGACACTGTGGAGCGGGGAAACCCCACCGATGGGCGGGCCGGCATGTGGAGGCAGGAACTCGGGAAATGAGGAGCGGGAACCGGACACTGAGGGGCGGGGAAAACCGGACACTATGGGGCGGGAAACCCCGGGCACTGATGGAGGCAGGAACTCGGACACTGATGAGGCGGGGGAACCGGACAGATGGAGCGGGGGCCGGCACTGATGGGGCGGAACTGGACCTGATGGAGGGGAACCCCGGACACGGATGGGGGGAGGGGAAATCGGACACGATAGACGGGAACCCCGGACACTGAGGAAACAGGGAAACCGGGCACTGAGGGGAGAACCGGACACATGGGGAAAGGGGAAACCGGGCCAGGAGCGGGGAACCTGGACACGAGGGAAAAGGGGAACGGCACTGAGGAGGGAGGAACCGGGATCAGGAGCGGAACTGGACACTGAGAGGCAGGAAACTCGGGGACACGGGAGGGAGGAACCGGCAGATACAGGCCCAGACACTAGGGGCAAAATCACCTGAGGAGGGGAATCGGACCTTAGCGGGAAAGGGCCTGATAGGGAAAACCTGGAATGAGGGGCGGAACCCAATGAGGAGGGAGGTACATGTGGAGCCGGTCCTATACAAACCACATATAACGGGGAACCGGACCTGATGGACAGGAAAACCCACCCATAGGAGCAGGAACCCGGCCTATGGAAGGGGAATGGAACATGAAGGAAACCCCCTATACGGCTAACTGATAAAGGCCTCACACTATGGAAAACAAAACCCGGCCCAAAAAAAAAGTCCTGGACATTCGGATTCAAGCCCTGAAAAACTCAAAACTGAAAAATTTTAAAACCCCGACAGGTTCCTGAAACGCTGTTAGTAGCTCAGAACACAAATTAGAACTCAGAACACCGACAGGAAGTCGGGATCAGCCAAGTGGCTACAGGACCAGGGAGACTAGTAGCATCAGCAGCAGCAGCATCAGCAGCAGCAGCAGAATCAGCATCAGCAGCAGCAGCAGCAGCATCAGCAGTAGCAGCAGCAGCAGCAGCAGCAGCATCAGCAGTAGCAGCAGCAGCAGCAGCAGCAGCAGAATCACCAGCAGCAGCAGCAGTATGTTTCTCATTTTACCTCACTGCTATTGATAGGTGAGTTGTCGGATTAGTGACTCCCTCAGCCTGGTAAGAACCTGATCACGCTAATAAATCTGCTTGGAATTAAGAAGCGCCTGTGCGTAGTTAACTAATTCGAAAGGAGCAGTTACTGTTTGTTGTGAGCTGTAGCCTCCCTTTATAAACAAAACAACATATAAAAAAACGAGACACCAGAAACATACATCAGTGTAAATATGTCACACCCCAGAACAACCCACCCAAATATAAAAATTGTACGCGAGGTTATATCATATCCGCCATGGATAATGATAATGTATCACCACAATGTACAGGAATTACGACTCTTACCCCGCCTTCCCTCCACCATAGATTTATAAGCGCTTCTCAACATACTATTTTTGTCCAGCCTCTCTAAATGTCCAAACCGCCTCAACAACCCTCCTCAGTCCTCTGGACAATACTTCTGCTAATGTCACGCCTCGCAACATCCAAACTCTAAAATCTCTGCATAATATTCATTCCACACATTGCCCTCACAGATGTCATCTCCGCTGCTTCCAGCCACCTCCTCCTCGCTGCAATATTTAAAGCCCATGCTTCACATCCATACAACAATGTTGGAACCACTATTCTCTGGTACACTGCCCGTTTTGCCTCCATGGATAAAGACTGTCTCCATTGATGCCTCAGTGCATTAACCTTCTCTATATTCCTGTGCTTCAATTTGATATCCAATCTCTCATTCCCAAAGGTTTTTTGATCTATTCATCATCTTCCTTTTTCCTATATTTAATTTTTTCCTAAATTTGCATACCCTCCCATATTCGTTTATCAAGTTTTGTAACTTCCATTCAGAATGTCGCAAAAGAATCGTGTCACTGGCAAAAAACAATTGTGATGGCTCAGTACCAGCTGCTCAGTATTTCAGTCCAACACCTTCTCTCAACACACAAACGTTCAACAACCATGGTAATATCACACATCTCTGTCTAAGTCCTACATACACTAGCGTGAGCTTCGCTGTCCTCATAAAAGCTCTTTACTGCTTTAGCTAACCTTCTACCCATTACATACAACATCTGCTACATTGCTTCCCTATCCACTGTATCACATGCAATGAAAAGTTCCTTACCTTTATTCAGGTATTGTTCACTTACAAGCTTCACTGTAAACACTTGGTCTACACATCCCTTACCCTTCCCGAAGCTTCCTTGTTCTTCTGCAATGCTGCTGTCTTTGCCAGGTATACTCAAAGCTTCATTTACCTATAATTATTACACTCTTTTACCTCCATATTCCTTAAACAAAGAAACGATACATGTTTTCTGAGAACCAGTCTCTGGTACCTCACTCCACTTCATGCAAATAATTAACTTTCTAAAATTGTATACACCTGCCTTTAACATTTCTGTCTTAATCCTTTCCATTGTGAGCTTCCACATTACGATCAACTAGTTTTGTAGACTGTTAGGAACACTGTAAGCCAGTGGTTCCCAAACTTTTTCAGCTTGTTACCAAATTTAACATGCCACATAAAGCATGTTACCTCTTTCACAAAATTTTGTTGTTATTGATATATATGGCTAAATTAAAACACTTGAGATATTTTCTTTTATTTATTGTATTTGAACATTGTGCATCTCTAATGACTATTACCAAAGATGTCAAGAACATCAGTGGGATCGATGGAGTTGCATACTTGAAGCTAGTTTAGGAATTCTTGGCTTCGTGGTTGAAAGTGCCAGCCTGGCATCGTTTGCAACATTCAAGCGAGTCCTCTTTTTTGTTTTCATACCCAGCACAGTTGAGAAGCCCTTCTCGCACAGATACGTTGTTGAGAATGATACCAACAACTTCAAGGCTCTCTTGGACAGAGTTGGCGAGTCAGGTAGTCGTGAAATCCAAAAGGAATCTGCATTTTGGTTTTGGAATTCGATTTTCAAGGCTTCATTGGCTCGCATTGTGATCCACTCCTCCTTTGCAGGGAAATCATCATCATAGAATGGCATCATCAGGTACAGAGAAGGGATGAATGATCCACTGAAGAGTGGCTGTTTCTTGGTCACTCTCTGGAAAGTAGTGATGCATGCTTGTTTCAAGCCCCTTCAAATGGTCGCTCATTTCTTTGTTGATGGTCTGTAGAAGTGATCCAGTATCATGACTATTCTCCTCAACAAACTGGTCTAGGGTGGGAAACTGGGCGATCACTCCTTTCTCCAAGCGCCGAATCCAGAGTCTCAGTTTCCCCAGAAATGCAGTCACAGTGTGATGGGCATCAATGACAGTCGTGTTTCGGCCCTGGAGTTGCAAATTACCACTGTTCAGCTCCGCAAATATGTCAGCCAAGTAACAAAGTCGAGCAAGCCACTCCTTATCGGTGAACTTGGTAGCAAAAGGAGATCCTTTTTGTTCCAGGAATTCCTGAACAGCTTTTCGGAGCTCAATGACTATATACTGCACAGGGCAGTACACATACATACCAGCTTATGTCTACCTAGGCTGATGCTCACAGATAAACTGACAGTGTGAAATAGAGGCAGCCTCAGGAAGTGAGTGACGCGTACTGGACAGGTCGATCTGGGCTACTGAGTGACTTTTGACCTGAAGCATACTTGTCAAAATACTTTTGGGTTTCCACACACTTAGCTATATATTTCTTCTTTTCTAATACTGTATATTAGTTTTTGATGTTTATTGTTATTTGGTTTAACTTTATTACTTACTTATAATAGGTTTACTTTACAACTTTATATACTAAGACAAAGTTAACAATAATCCTCATACCGGGTACCGCATTGTTTTCTTGATTTTCAGAATTCATAACTTTTTTTCTGTCACCCCTCCATTACCCCCCAAAAATGGTTAAATTACTCCCAGGGGGTAATTTACCCCCAGTTTGGGAACCACTGCTGTAAGCGGTGGTAATTATGAACAGTGGTAGCAACAACATACACGGTTGGTTAGATACACTGGAAATCTTGTGAGATGGCCACACTGCATATACAGAGTATTGACAGTGATGGGGATGGTGAGAGGCAGAGTACTGACAGGGGTACAGGAGTGGTGGTGTGTGACAGTGTACTCACGTGACGTTGTCAGGGCCGAGGGTGTATCCTGGCTGACAGAGGCACGTGTCTCCAGTGTCTGTGCACATGTACGAGCAAGCCAGGTCCGTGCACTCTGCTGTCAGGCAGTGAGCCTCATCTGTGCCAACACCCAATAATTAGTATCAAATTAATTAATATATATAAATATATATATTATATATATATATATATATATATAATATATATATATATATATATATATATATATATATATATATATATATATATATATATATATATATATATATATATATATATATATATATATATATATATATTTAAAGAAATAAAGCACTTTATATACACTTCAAGTGGCCTTAACAAATGACCTTCATCTGTAAGACCATTAACCTACATTTTTGGGGCCCTGAAGACTAAACTGTCATGGCGTCACCATGGCAACCAGCAATAACTTCCCTACAGCATACTTTAATAACCTCTAAATTTTTATCTTAACTATTATTTTGTATTCAATTATGCTATATTATTAATGTTATTATTTTTTAAAAAGCCTTTCTCATAGACCCAATATTTTTAAGCAATGTGGACCACAGTGGCTTCTGGGGCCCCTCCGGGATTAGGGGCCCTGAAGCTTAAGCTTCATTAATAACAAAAAAAGGCACAATACCGTGACTGGAACGATACACAAATAACCCGCACATAACCCGCACGACCTCTACTACTACTATTACTACTACTACTACTACTACTACTACTACTACTACTACTACTACTACTACTACTACTACTACTACTCTACTACTACTACTACTACTACTACTACTACTACTACTACTACTACTACTACTACTACTACTACTACTACTACTACTACTTCTACTACTACTACTACTACTACTACTACTACCACCACCACCACCTCTTCCTGCCTATATATAGCCGTCCTGCTCCACTTCTGGTTAGTGTGACGTTGTAAATGGTCCAAGTCGGACCGAAACGTCGTTGTAAGCTTCTCTCTTTTATGTGCGGGTTATTTGTGTAAGCTTCATTAGTTTCATATTAGATCCGGCCCTGACTGTAACCCTTCTCATTCTATCCACCATCCCAAAAACACATAGCAACAATAACCTATCCCTCTATCCATCTAAAAATACGTCTACCAACTATGTTACAATGTTTTGCGTATGAATGATGTAGCAGACAGCAGTACTCATCTCTAAGTGGTGATGTTATCATCCTAAGGCATGATGTTATTCTTAAGAGCGATGTTATCATCCTTTTAGGTGATGTTATCATCCCTTTAGGTGATGTTATCCTAAAGGGTGATGTTATCATCATAAGAGGTGATGTTATCATCATAAGAGGTGATGTTATCATCATAAGAGGTGATGTTATCATCATAAGAGGTGATGTTATCATCATAAGAGGTGATGTTATCATCCTAAGAGGTGATGTTATCATCATAAGAGGTGATGTTATCATCATAAGAGGTGATGTTATCATCATAAGAGGTGATGTTATCATCATAAGAGGTGATGTTATCATCCTAAGAGGTGATGTTATCATCCTAAGAGGTGATGTTATCATCATAAAGAATCATGTGAAACAAAATGAAATGAAACAGGAACAAAGCACAAAATGCAATAGAAGCATAATTTGGAGAGTGGCGGGATGTAATGATCTTTTAAGATCTCACCTTCCAGGAACATAATACATCTAACCCGACTTAATGGGAATTGACATCCTGTATAACAAAGTATATCAAAAGATAAGCCACTGATGACACGAAGACACTTGTACTCTATAGACTAAAATCTTGGTGTGCACTAGCATATTTAAGGCAAGGAACTGTAGACCTGGAGAATGTATAGAGAACTTTCGCTGCTTCATCAAATCCGTAAAACCCTAATTTACTGGAATATATAATATTCATCAAACTGTACTCCGTGGAGTGCAGGCGAGACCAGTATAACATAAACTACACCTGGAAACCACTCATTCTACATACTGACACAAAAAATTATTCCTTACGACTATAGGAAACAAAAGAAACAGTGCACTGGGGGTTACTTAGATATAACTCAATAAGCTTAAAGAGGCCAAGGCTTTTCAACACTCTGCCTTCAATTATAAAGGGGATACCAAATGATCCAACAATGGCTTCCAGAGGAAGTTTCACGAGTTCCTACAGAGAATTCCAGGTCAACGTTCGTCATATAAGCTCCAGCAGCTTAACTGATGACGTCACCAAGTAAACGGCTTTTAAGAAATGAAAAGACACCTTTGATATGCCTTTGATATACATTTGAAGAGTTTCGAGAGTTTATCTACTCTCTGAGCCCGGCCATAGGCCAGGCTCGTCTGGTGCTTGCCTGGTCAACCAGGCTGTTGCTGCTGGAGGCCTGCTGCCCCACATATCCATTACAGCCTGGTTGATCTGGCACCTGGTTACCTGGAGGTTATTCCGGGGATCAACGCCCCCGCAGCCCGGTCCACGACCAGGCCTCCCGGTGGATCAGGGCCTGATCAACCAGGCTGTTACTGCTGGCCGCACGCTGTCCAACGTAAGAGCCACAGCCCGGCTGATCCGGCACTGACTTTAGGTATCTGTCCAGCTCTCTCTTGAAGGCAGCCAGGGGTTTATTGGTAATTCCCCTAATGCTTGATGGGAGGCTGTTGAACAGTCTTGGGCCCCGGACACTTATGGTCTTTTCTTTTAGTGTACCAATGGCGCCCCTACTTTTAATTGGAGGTATTTTGCATCGCCTGCCCAGTCTTTTACTTTCGTAGGGAGTGATTTCTGTGTGCAGATTTGGGACCATTCCTTCCAGGATTTTCCAAGTGTAGATTATGATATATCTCTCTCCTGCGTTCCAACGAGTACAAGTAAAGTGCTTCCAAGCGTTCCCAGTAGTTAAGGTGCTTGACAGAACTTATACGTGCAGTAAAGGATCTCTGTACACTCTCTAGATCTGTAATTTCACCTACTTTGAACGGAGATGTTAATGTACAGCAGTATTCCAGCCTAGAGAGAACAAGTAATTTGAAAAGGATCATCATTGGCTTGGCATCTCTCGTTATGAACGTTCTCATTATCCATCCTATCATTTTCTTTTCACTTGTGATCGTGGCGCTGTTGTGATCCTTGAAAGTGAGATCCTCGGACATTAATACTCCCAGATCCCTTACATTATTTTTCCGCTCTATTGTATGGCCAGAGTTTGTAGTATACTCTGTTCTAGTTATTATACCCTCCAGTTTTCCATAACGGGGTAGTTGGAATTTGTCCTCATTGAACATCATATTGTTTTTCGTTGCCCACTGGAAAACTTTGTTTATATCTTCTTGGAGGTTAACCGCGTCCTAAGCAGATGACAGCCTCATGCAGATCCTAGCATTATCCGCAAAGGATGATACGGTGCTGTGGTGCATATCTCTGTCTATGTCTGATATGAGGATGAGGAATAAGATGGGGCGAGTACTGTGCCTTGTGGAACAGAGCTCTTCACTATGGCAGCCTCCGATATAACTCTGTTGACCACTACTCTTTGTGTTCGATTTGTTAGGAAGTTGAAGATCAATCTCCCTACTTTCCCAGTCATTCCTTTAGCACGTATTTTATGGGCTATTACGCCATTACCGCATTTGTCAAAAGCTTTTGCAAAGTCTGTGTATATTACATCTGCATTCTGATTTTCTTCCAGTGCATCCAAGGGCGTATCATAGTGATCCAGTAGTTGCGAGAGGCAGGAGCGACCTGCCCTGAACCCATGTTGCCCTGGATTGTGCAGATTTTGGGAATTCAGGTGATTTGCAATCCTGCTTCTTAGCGCTCTTTCAAAGATTTTTATGATATGGGACGTCAGAGCAATTGGTCTATAGTTCTTAGCTAATGCTTTGCTGCCACCTTTATGGAGTGGGGCTATATCCGTTGTTTTAAGTGACTGTGGAATTTCACCCACGTCCAAGCTCCTCCTCCATAGTGTACTTAGGGTACGTGAGAGGGGTTTCTTGCAGTTCTTAATGAATACAGAGTTCCACGAGTCTGGGCCCGGGGCTGAGTGCATGGGCATGTTGTCAATGGCTTTTTCGAAATCTATCGGAGTTAGGGTAATGTCGGAAATCTGGCATACATTTATGGAGTTATGAGGGTCATTCATGAAGAAATCATTTGGGTCGTCGATCCTCAGACTGATTAGTGGCTCATTAAACACAGAGTCGTACTGGGATTTCAGTATTTCACTCATTTTCCTTGTTGTCATCTGTGTAAGTCCCATCCTGTCTGAGTAAGGGCCCGATAACTAGATGTGGTATTTCCCTTATTTTTGGCATATGAAAAGAAATTTTTTAAATTTTTTTCAATTTCACTAATAGCTTTAAGCCCCTTCTCTCCGGGTTTCCCTGTAAGAGTCATTTAACTTTAGTTCGATAGTTTCCATTTCCCCTGGTCAGCCCCTCCTTTCGTGTATCGATATTCTACACCCCTGAGGGCCAGTGATTTTCGTGTCTTTTTGGTGGGAGCGTTTTCCCTCTCTCAGTTTACTCCTGCTTTTCTTCTTTTTTAGGGGGAATATCCCTAAAAAAAGGTTCAGCTGCAGGAAGTTGTCCTTTAAAGGTGGTTTGGATCCTGTCATTTAAGATATCTTCCCAACATGTTTATTTAAGAATGGTTTACCTGGTCCCGGTTATGTTCTTGTTTTTGAATTTGTATTTTGTGAAGACACCTTTACAGGTACATGCATTCTGCTGACCCGGGCCCCCTTTGGCATGGTCGGGACTTCGATTAGATTGTGATCGAAATTAGTTGTTTTTGATTTTTATGTTCTTTGAGGCCCTCTTATTTGTGAAGTAAGGTCAAGTGTGTTTTCTAGTCTTTTGGCTCCACTACTGCTGGCTTAAAGGTGTTTTATCGCAGAGACTTGTAGCTTGGTGTGTAACTTTCATCATGCTACCCCCGGGGTTGTTTCTGCTAAAAACTTATTCACTACATTCTTCCTTTGTATGCCTTGGTAAATCATCAAGCGTAAATGTTTGGGGAGGGAGTGGAAGGCTTTCCAGACAGTAATCAATTTTTCAGAGCTTTTCCCTTAACTGTTGGGAGGTTGTATCTGGTGGCTTTTTATACAACCACAATGA